CTGTAACCTCTGTCAAATGCGCATTATAAACCAGCAAATATTATATTTATTTTATTTATTATTTATTATTATACATAATAATGAAGCCCTTCGATCGGAGCAGCAAGGGAAGGCAGAGAAGTTCCTTAGAATAAATAGTACTTACTGATGATATAATGCTTCTCACAATGTTACTGTGAAGTGTAGTGACTGTATTTTATAGGCTAATGCGGATGCTGATTTGCACACAGCAATGTCTTACAAACAACCATGAAGTGAATGATCATTTTTATTTGGGGGATTGTTGGTCAGGAACCGGGAGAGAGAAAAACTTCCTTCTCTTTTTGAATAGTGCCATGGGATGCCGGCAACTTGGGTTAACATCTCATCCGAAGCACAACATCTCCAACAGCCCTGCGCTGGACTGTCAGCTTAGTCCATGTGAGTTCAAAGTCCTGATGTGGGGCTTGAGCCTACAATCTGGGTGAAGTCGCCTCTTGGTTTAAGCCATGTTAGGGCAGTGAGCTCACTGTCTGGACTGACACTACACAGAGTTACACTACACTGTGTTATCCACAGTGAGCCGGGCTGACAACTGGACGGAATGAGCTGGAGTCAGAGATGATGGAAGTTGATTTCATTATTTCAGGATGATAATGGAGGCAGAAAAAAAATCACATCACACTTTTCTTGTCAATTTCGATCTGAGGTCAAATTTTCTTACTGAAAGCAAGAAATTTTATGCAACTTTGTACCACCTTCAATTTTACACCAAAGTGGCTCCACAGGCTGACCAATGGGTATTCCAGGTCTTCGGCAGGTCTTCAAGCTGTTACTGCATTAAAGTACACCATGGGGGTGGGGGTGGGGGGGGGGGAAGAGGGATGGGAGGGGGGTTAAACCAATCCTATAATCCAATCCTTTCATACAATGAAGCTCCAATCGCCGTGGCAACACGTTCCTGCAGAAGGTACACTGCGCTGAGCTGTGGAGAAAGTATTGAGACACAATCCCAGGGGAACGCACGTGAAATTAGGTATTAATGGGATGCTCTGATCCCCTTCCCCCCTCGCCCCTCACCCTTTCAGTCACTGGGGTCAGCGACCATCAGTAATAACCAATAACCACAGTCTGTTGCTTTGGTGACTTGATTAAAACAATGTCAAATTCACCCCTCTCAGATAACTCAACCCCACACACCCGTTCTGCGGTAATACCCACCCCGTCTCCGCACGGGGAGGGGGTTTCCGAGAAGGGGGGAAATTTACATTGTTTTTAATCAAGTCACCAATGTAGCAGCTGTGTTTGTTATTCCCAGAGAAAGAGCTGAGCGTGTATAATGTGTACTTATAGCCTCAGCTCTTCAATTCATTGTGTTAGCTTTCTCTGTAATGCTCTTAGTAATTAAGTACTCCTTAAATTAACACTGGCGCTAGTTATAACAACAAGAATCCTTGCGTTCGATATAGCGCCTTTTCACATTGTCCAGACATCTCAGAGTGCTTCACAGACTGCAAAGCATCACAAGATCTTGAGACATACAGTCTGTGGAAAATTCTTACATTTTGTCTTGATTTAGAAGCTCTTGGATTATGGGAAACTAAGGCAAATGGGCTCCCAAATAAGGAATGAATTTAAGAATTTTCCGCAGTTTTGCACGATCTTAAATTTCAAGCACAAAATGGTGTTGCACGTTAAGATGAGGTGGAATTTGGGCATTTTTCTTACATTAAAATTCAAGAAGATCTTGCAAAGATTATGAAAATTCTTGAATTGAGGTCCTCGCCTGTAAGCAAAAAGAATTGTGGGCAAAAAATATGGCTTCCAAATTTTAACGCTGAATTTTTAAGGATTTTCCAGAAGAATTCTTACACAATCTTAAATTTGGGCCTTGGATATTTCTGATTTGCAAACCAGATATCCCTGACACTAGTGAGCCAGGATTCTGACTCCTCATTTGCAAAATGACCCAGTTTGTCTAGTAACATGCTGTCACTGCCCAGGACCTGTCGCCTTGCACTTTCTCTCTCTCCTCCGTCAATGGGGGTCATCTAACGAGTGAGCATATAAACCCGAGAGGGCAGAGGTTACCATTGCAGTTGCTGCCTTTCTCAGCCAGCACACACTAAGTCAAAATACTTTTATAAATCAAACCTGTACAGGGCTCTTTCTTTCCTTATCTCAGCTGTTGGCTCAAGGCTATAAATTTGGTTTTAATTGAGTGTTGCATAGACTCAAAAAAGCACAGGAGCATGCTCAGTCACCGCCACCACTCAGAAGCTTTCAGTTTTGAATTGTTCCAGGAGGCAGACCCAGGGCGCTGGGCTGAGATTCTCTCCAGATAAAGAAGGTTTTTATCGCGTCCATAGCATCAGCTTTTCTCCTTGTTTTTAGACCTTCACAGAACATGCTCTTTAATGTACGGACGCTAAAGATCCCATGGCATTATGATAATAATAATAATAATCCTTGTATTTGATGTCTTATCACATCTTCGAGATGTCTCAAAAAACTTCACAGAATATACTATAAAGTGAATTGACTGTATATTTTGTGGGCGAAAACGAGAACGGAGTTTCTCTCTCCTGGAGTCCTGGCCAACAGTCCCTCAAATAAAGTTGGTCATTTACTTTATGACTGTTTGCGGTGTCCGACACACACGGGAAACCATCAACATGTTTAAGAATCCATACCAGACTGAGATGCCACCTACCTGTCTGTAATGGAACGTTCACTCTCTCCTCGAAGAGAACAAATAACTGAAGCGGAGAAATAACAACAACAACTTGGATTTATATAGCTGAGCTAAAACCGCGAGTAACTGAGGTAGTGAGGTAGGCATCTCCAATACAAGAGTTAAATCCGACTATTGTTTCTCCACCGGCTTTCTCTCTACCTTCCTGATGATATGTAACTCCCACTTCCATAGTAATTCACAGCACAGAAAGTGTAGTCGTATGTGGAGCACAGACACCAGTTTAGCCGAATGGGCTGGTTCTGTGTGTAAATATAAAGATAAGGGTGGGAGAGAATGCTAGCTGTTTTAAATAGATTGCTGTTTTCTGTAACCCAGCCCATAGAGCGGGCTGGCACGGAGAACTCAGAGAGACATCACGGACAAGATAGGCAGAGTTACATGGAACATTACACACAGAACCAACCCATTCGGCTAAACTGGTGTCTGTGCTCCACATGCAACTGCACTCTCTGTGCTGTGAATTACTATGGAAATGGGAGTCACATATCATCAGGAACCTCAGTTACTTTCAATCTCAACACTTGATGATCCCATTCCTGCCTCAACTCACTCCTGTTGTTTTTCTCTTATCTGTCCAGTGTGTGTTCTTCAGCTGCACGGAGTGCGACAAATGGTACTAGATGAGTGAGATAGCGCGCAGAGAATCAGATTGTTCCATGTTAACACGAAAGAATCATGGAGAAAAGTCACCAATGAGATGACCTGTTACACCATACCTGACCGGCGCTTATGGCTGTTTACAAAAAGCCTGTCACTAGGTTCACAAGATTAGCTCAGATGAAGAAGACAGTTCGAAACAGCTGATCTCATCCCCCCAGAACATCCACACTACTTTCCTCTCTTCACGGTATTGAGCTGTTTTGCAAATGAATCCCAGTGACTTGGCCTCAACCACACTTCCTGGCAAACTGTTCACTTGTTAATTAAGCTTTGGGTAAAGAAATACTTCCTAGTATCTGTCCAGAAATTCCCCTTCACAACTCTAATCGTGTGTCTCTTGTTCTCCTGTCTAGTTGCTTCCGAGACGTGAATGATAGCGGGCGAGGGAGCAATACATCTAGAAGCTCAAAGGAATAAAAAGAATAAAATTAACCCATTCAGTCATCAGCAAGCTGCATGAACCCTCTCTTGTTTAATGTAAACAGAACAAGGGGTATTATGATCATTCGTTGTCAAGAGAGTGTGAGTGATCCTCACCAGAGTGAAACCGTTTCACCGAGCCTGTTGGTATAGCTCCAACACTGGCAATGTCACCCAGAGAAGCCCTGAGTGACTGGGGGTGGGAAGTGGAGAACGTCACCTACTCAGTGCACTAGGGGGCGCTCTTTTGACACTGTGTCTGTCTGACACGCATTGTCTGACTGGAGTGGAGGGAACGTAAAAGAGGCGAAACCTGAGTTTTCTTCTTGTCGGGTGGCCTGAATTGGGCAAATGTCCCAAATGTCAGCGTTCACGTCTCAGTCGCATGTCGATGAGAACAAAATCCATCGTAAAGAGATGGTTAAACAGGAAACATATGTTGCCTCCTCACCAGGGCTGAAAGCTCTCGTTGCATGTTCCAGTCTTCCCACGGTCATGCCCCCAGAAGAGTGAGGAGCGGGGTTTGCACACGGTGGGGGGGGTAGCCGTGTCAGTGTCTCGTTTTACGTGTTCCTTTTGAATGAATACCTTCAGGAAAAATATAGGTAACAGGATGTGTCCCTCCGGAGAGAGAGTGCGCATTCCATTATAATAATCATCGCTGGAATTTCCATGTGTAGGTGGGATGCATGGAAATCTCAGTTTGGTTGGGAGACTCATAAGCAACAGTGATGAGTTTCCGGATGCGTCAGACACCCGGCTGACCAAAGATAAGACCAAGTTGTGCTTGCCTCATGTCTGTAGATGGCAAAAACGAACTTGCCAGGGGAAACATTTCTCAAGGAAAGGTGACAAGTCATAGAGAGACTGAGCTGGCTCTCATCAAACAGAGCTTTTTCACTAAACTATATTAGAGTAGCGGTACAGAGCATTGATCTGGGTCATTAGAACGACTTGAGGGAATCATTGGTTACTGCAATTTGACCCATGAGTAAAACTTTCATTGAAGTTTATTCAGGAGTCACTAAGTTTTTGAAGTGACTGTCTGACCCTTTAATCTGCCTTCTTGTTAGCTTGGAGCCTCTTACTGGGCTGAACAAACAGAGCTGGGCAGATACAATCAGTGGGGAGCGACGTGGGGAAGGTGTTGCTTATTAACCATTGTCTCTTTGGGTTGCTGTAGATCTGAAACAGTGACGGGAGGCGATGGGAAGTGCTGGTCGGAGACCGAGCATGTTGCAGCAGAACAGACTTGCCTTTGAGGACAGTATAATGACCAACCTGGAGAAAGGGAACCAGCAGCCCAAGGGCCAGGAGTGGACATTGGTGCAGCCATCCAGTGCGCCTCCCACGCCCGAGAGGACACTGCCCGTCTACTTGTCCTACTTTGACATGTTACTCACTGAAGACTGTACGTGGCTATCTAAGGGACTTGCAGAGCGGCCGGAAATTGACCACGGCTTGAAGACTGAGCAGCAGAAAGAGCCAGAGCAATGCCCCATAGTGGACAGTCAGGAGATCTGTGTGCCCACCGAGCTGGACTATCAGAATGGCGTCCACCTGGAAGAGCGGTCTCTGGAGCAGGTTCAGACAATGGTGGTGGGGGAAGTACTCAAGGAGATAGAAACGGCTTGTAAGCTACTGAACATCGCAGCAGGTAATCATATCCAGTGTTATCAGAATGACCATGTTACTCTCTGTACTCTGTGAGCAAACTAATCCATTTAAACCAGTGGTGGCCAGCCCTTATGGTCGGCCAACAAAATAAATGTTCTTGATTGAACATTTCTTGATTTACGCCATAATATTCAATCAAGAAAAAAATGCTGATAGAACACAGACTTACCTAGACTGGGGGGATGGGGCGGGGGGGGTGCTCTTCTTGATGGCCCCACAGGCCACAGGTTGGTCACCACTGCTTTAAATCCTTTTTAACAATAACCAAATAGCACATTTTGAACACAATGCATTATTCTATTCTACGTGTCTGACACATGCAGAAACCCATCACCATGCTTAAGAGTATCCAATTCATAATGGGAGTTCCATGTTTTTCACCTAAACGTGGAAATTTCCCTGTGTCCGGAATGGAATGTGCATTCCTGGAGTGATGCATCCTGTTTACCCAATTCTGGAGAGTATTAGGCACAAGTTGGCAAAAGCCAAGGCATGGGGGATCCCAGAATGTGCGTGGGGTAACCGTTGGAGTCTAACCAACTAAAACTACATAGCTTGCCATTGAAAGAACTGTCTGGCAAGCTTCCCGCTGCTTGTCCAGCTAGGACCATCCTATCCATTAGGGCTTTGGCTTGCATGATTAACAGGAGTTGAGTGGGATGACTCCCTGCCCACAATAACTGGGCTGCCCTTCCAAGTCCTGCCGATGAGCCAAGCTGACTGTGTTGTCATCAGCAGTGTCCTGGAATACTGTGCAGTATGGGATAAAACATGCACTGTGGGTTGTGAGATGACATTTAACATTTTTCGCCCTAGTCAAGGCATTCATTTAATTGATTATAAGGTTAGGATTTTTATTTAAAATTTCCCTGACGGGTTGCCTGATCCTCACACAGTTAATGTGATGTCATGGAGACTGCGAGACTCTTCTAGGTTAATATAACGGTGAGCGGCACCACAGAATGTTCAAGGTTAATGTGACCAGGTCCAGCATAACAGAACGTTCTACAATGTGAAGTGTAAAGAAAACATGGTGATGGCCTGGATACGGGTTCTCTCTGTAAATGTGTCTTGAGCAGTTTGTATACAATGCAGTTAACTAGACCCATTACTGTACATCTTCTGCTTCCACATATACCGACATAGTGTGCTGCTGTCTGGTGCCCTGTTGTTGGAGAATATGTGCTGTCAGCCTGGCTCAGCCGCTCGCACTCTCATCTCGGGGTCTGAAGATTGTGGGTTCGGGCCCCGCGTCAGGGGTTGAGCTCACAGTGTAGACTGACACTCTAGGGCAGTGCTGGGGAAGTGCCGCATTGCAGAGGTGCACGTCCTTTGGCCTAGACATTAAACTGAGGTCCTGTCTGTCTGTTCAGGTGGACATCAAAGTCCCGACGTGCTGGCCAAGAATCCTCCAGTTACATTGATGATTCATGCTCCCTGCTTGTAGGACCTGACTTGTACATAAATGGACTGCTGCCTTTGCCTGTACAGTCACTACACATCACAGTAATTCTCTGCGAAGTGCTTTGAAACGTTAGAGAACTGGCTTCGGAACAATGTAAACTAAGGCTAATTCCTGGGGGCTGGGAGCTGGGAGCTTATGGACAGACCGCTGTTTGAAAGCTCCAGTGTTTTTAAAAATAATAATAATAATCCTTGCATTTGACACAGACAGGAGGATGGCACATCGGGAGGACATCAGGATTTGATGCAAAGCGTAGTGACTGTGCGTTCTGTAGGCGAATGATAAAGCTAAAGTTTGCTTCTCCCTGAGGAAATCCCTGAAACCCCAAACAATGTGCAGAGAAAGATCCCATCTCTTCTGTTTGATCTTGGGAAGAATTTAGTTTAAAACTGCCGTATGCGCGGAGCTCCGTGGCCCTAGTGGGGGTTTGTGTCCTGAAACAGTCTGTAGAGAAATTATAAAAATTGGAGGTAGTGACATCACTAAACAGCGGCCTTTATTTCTCCTAGTTTTGTTGGTCAGAGACACAGTGGTCAGGACATTAAAGGTTCCACGGGTCAGTGATGTCCCAATGCTTAATGGTTTTGTCCACACCTCCTCCCTCCCTCCCTCCCTTCCTCACTCCCTGACTCCGACTCTTTGCGCCTTTTGGTCTCATAATTTCAGATCCTGCCAATAGAATTTCAGAAAACTCTTCAAATCAATCTTCAGTTTGAAGCCGTTACCGGCAAAAACCCTTCCAGAATAGGACCGAAATGGAGATTTCCTGAAAGTGCTTTTGATGGCTCAGGCTCTGAATGGTTACATCCAGTCAAGATTTTTTTTTGTTATCAAGTCTAACCTGCCCCAGCCTTATCAAGCCCACTAGTGGCGTTGATAAGGCTGGGGCAGGTTAGACTAGATAACAAAAAAATCCTGGACTTTGAAAAGTGACAGTGTTTACTGCAGGCGGGCAGAATGGCTTTCAGAGGCTCGTAAGCTTGTTCAGTGTCACAAATGTCCCTAATCCCTGTTCTCCAGGGACAGATGGCAAGCAAAGAATGACTCTGTTTTCTTCGATGCTCAGAAATCCAGCCCAACCCTTCATCAAATTCCAATCTGTTTACAACAGTAACAAGGGGGTGGGGGAAGGGGGGGAAAGCACCGTGTGAAGCAATCATTTCCTGGTGTGAATAGGCAATGTGTTGCTCTTATCCTCCCCAATGGCTGACACAGTCAGTCTGTTACCCCCACCTTTCCCTTAACCCCCCTCCAGTGTTTCTTAGCCTATGGGTCAGGAGAACGCCAGAGTTATGAAATTCCGCTTAGTTTTAGCCTGCGAGACGCTTTGTCTTCTAACCTAACATCGCACAGAACTGTGGCATACTCTTCAATTCAATTCTAATTAGGACACCAGTTTTCTTTTCAGAAAAGTCTCACATCAGAGAATGTGAACTCACAATCTACGCTGCCGCTCCAGTGCAGTCCTGGGGGAGGGCTGCTGCATTGTTGAAGGTGCCGTCCTTTGAATGAAACACTTAACCGAGGCCCTGTCTGTACTTGTTCAGATGGACGTTAAAGATTCTGTGGCATCATTGGAAAAAGGAAGTTTCTCTTTCCTCGTGGCCTGGCCAACAATCCCCCAGATAAAATTGATCGTTCATTTAATGGCTGTTTGCAGGACATTTCTATGTTCAAAACTGGCTGAGGTGTTCCCTACAAATACGGTCACTACACTTTACAAACATACACAGAATCCTGTGCTTTGCTTTCTGAATGTGAAAGGTTGATATCAAGGATTATTACTATTTATTAAGATTGAGCCACCAAATTCTTATAATCTTTGCATTTAGTATAGCACCTTATCACATCATCAAGATGTATCAAAATGCTTCACAGGATATACTATAAAATGTAGTGACTGTGTATTTTGTGGGCGAGACGCAGCAGTCAGTTTGCACACAGCAGTGTCCCACAAACAACCACGGAGTGAGTGACCAATTTTTAATTTGAGACTGAATTGGAAAAAATTCCAATCTGCATCAATCAGCAATTGTTAAGACAAAACAATCTCACTGGATGAGACCACAGGGAGTTTTGGGACAGTAAAGGGTAACAATGATAAAATATTACTGAACAAGGATTTGAGAGGTCACAGACACGCCTCACTTCAAGCTCAGAACCTCAATGACTCCTCTGTATGTGTATATGTATGTGCGTGTGTATGTATGTATGTGTGTATGTATGAATGTATGTATTTGTGTGTATGTATGCGCGTATGTGTGCATGCGCGCGTGTGTGTGTGTGGATGTGTGAGCATGTGGTGGGGAGGAACTTTTCAATTCTGCACACACGCACATCCATGTAGGTCTCCCCACAGCAAGGCTGAGGCAGGTTAGACTTGGCCCCACTCACCTGCCCTATTGTTGTCCATGGGCTCTGAGCGCTTGCTGGAGTTCTTGGGAGGCAAATAAAAATACCGAATTACATTTATACAGCGCCTTTCACATCAGGAGGATGTCCCAGGGCCAAATCAGGGATTTGGACCCGAGTTGGGAGTCGGGATCAGGGAGCATGGAGGGCGGGGAGGGTAGGGGTAGGAGGGTGGCCAAAGCATGGTTGAAGAGGAGGGTCTTGAGATGCGCCTTGAAGGAGGCAAGGGAGGGAGCGAGGCAAAGGGAATGTTGGATGGAGTTCCAAATGGTGGGGGTGGAGAGGCTGAAGGTCAAATTAGTTGTCATGTTAGCCTACAATGTGCACAGTCACTACGTTTAGCCCACAAAATATACAGCCAATTCACTTTACAGTATATTCTGTGAAGTGCTTTGAGACGTCTCGAAGACGTGATAAGGTGCTGTATCAAATGCAAGGATAATTATTATTCAGCAAAAATTCCATGAAACTATTTGAGATGTTCTCCTGATGCGAAAGGCCCAAATTACATTTAAGGGTTATTATTATTATCTTTTTCACAGACACTGTAAAAACCCAAATTCCTCCTTTCTCTCTGAACTTGATCCATGAACGATCTCAGGAAATAGTCAGTCTTTAATATGATAATAACCTCCCATTTGATGCAGTGTCTATACTGTCAAAACTTCTCAGAGGTTTCTGTAAAGTGTAGTGACTGTATTTTGTAGGTGAATATGGCAGCCAATTTGCATATAGCATATGTCCCACAAACAGCTGTCAAGTGAGTGACTGTTGGCCAGGACACCAGGAGAAACTCCCTTCTCTTTTCGAATAGTGCCACAGGTCTTTAGTGCCCACATGAACATGGGACCTCAGTTTGTCTCATCTGAAAGACAGAGGCTCTGATGGGAGGTGCGTGTGTGGTGGTGGGGGGTGATGGTGATGGTTGGGGCAGTAGGTGTTCTCATAGGTTGGACGATGAGCTTGCAGTGTTCAAACCCAGATGTGAGAGTGCTGCCAACTGAGCCGAACTGACACCTATTGACCACAGCTTCCATCAGTCTGGATCTTTACAGCCAATGGCAAGTGATGAAACGCTTATTATTTGAGCTGCACTATCTGAGAACAGAAAGCAATGAGGTTGGGCTGACCTTGAGCTCAGTGTACTAAATCTGGCCATTGCTCTTAAAAGCATAATAGCAGAATATTTTTCCCAAAGTAAGTGTTTTATTTACTGATTGTGCATTGCTATGGGCCATTGTCTCCAGTACATGTGCCAATACGCCATCATTCATCAAATTTAAAGGGACACTGTCACCCAACCGGGGAGACTGTGGCTGCGCTCAGCTTTTGGAAGAACAGCTGATGTGAAAAGACTGGGCTGGTGGTTGAAGCCAGGACACTGGGACTCAATTAAGAGTCAGCTTGATGCTGTGATGTATGTGGGTGGGTGGGTGGGTAGGGACGGGACAGGGGTTGAGCCTCATTACAGGGGAGGGCATAATGTTGGTTACAAGTGCAACTCACGGGCTCTGAACGTTTGCCACTTTGCCCACATTAGCATCTGTCTTTCTCATGTATGTATATATGTATTATATATCTATTATATATATTGTCAATCTGTTACATAGGTTTAAAGTATTCCTGATGTGCTTTATTGAAGGGGTGAGGCTTTGTTCCACATCGCTCCACACGACACACATTCTAGTAATCAGGCTTCCAATATATCACAATGGCACAGGAAGGCTTCAGACAATATTACACAAATCAGGGTTATATCTGCACATTCCTGACAAGTTGACTTGTGCCCTGACACTGTCACCGTCCCCATCCCCAACGCTGCTGTGCAAGTCAGTACAAGTCCTTCAAATGAGATGCAAATCTGAGGTCCCATCTGCTTCGTTCTTGGGATTATCTAATTGCCATCCTAATCCCAAATAGATAAACACATGTAGAGATATACTACAAGATCTTTCTCCTCCCCCTTGTGTGCTATGCCTCTCCACGAATTAAAAAGTCCTGTAGCTCAGTGGTTAGAGCACTCGCTTTGCAAGTGAGACACCCGAGTTCAATTCCAGGCAGAGGGCGAAACCTTGGGCAAGTTTCCTTACTCCACACAGAGCCTAATAATAATCCCTCCAAAACCAAAAACAATAATAAATTGGTCATTTTCAATCCACGACTGTTTGTGGGACACTGCTGTGTGCAATTGGCTGCCGCGTTCTGCCCACAAATATATGGTCAATTCACTGTACAGCATATTTGTGAAGCACTTTGAGACGTCTAGAAGATGCGAAAAGCGCTATATCAAATGCAAGGATTATTATTAAGTCCTTCTGAACCTCTCCTTTGATTCCCAAAGTCACCTCACCCTCTCCCTGACCAGCGGAAAGAACTTCTCACCATTAATTCTCTCAAACTCTTTCATTCTCTTCATGACCTCTAGTGTTCAATCTTGAGTGACGCACCTTGTGGTGATAAATGATGATGCTTGAAGGATTTAGAGCAATAGGCTGATTTAGGAGCAATGGTTTGGCCCATTGAATCTGTGTCATCATCACACAGTCTACAAAACACTCCCTCTTCTAATCCCATTTCCTGTCTTCTCGCTTTAACCTTAAAGGAATGTTGCACATCCCTCAGTGAAATTAGGCCCTTCAGAACCAAATGGACAGTGGGGTATCATACACATCTACAAGCCAATGCTGTGACTAAACATGTCCCCTGGTCTATGTTGTAACCATGGTAAGACAAAAAGACAGATTTAGTGGCCGTGCCAGTGGTCGACAATAGAAACTCTCTGAGGGTGATGGGGAGAAGCCAAGTAAAATCACTGGGACTTGGTTGACCATGGACTGGGCTGTAATCCTGAGCCACTGTTTGGAGAATGGACAGCAGGTTGCAAGAATATCGTTGTATTCCTCTCATCCCAAAGGATTTTTTTTGGTTAAAAAAAAGTCACTGATCATCACACTCTCACACCCTGGAGTGAATTTTTTACCAATTAGCTCTCCAATTCTCTGACATAATCCATCGCCACTGTTCCCTGGCTCATCCATTCCACACGCTCTCTACTCCGTGTAAAGCAATAACAATAATCATTCTAGCATTTGATAAAGCACCTTATTACATTGTCCCAACCATCTCAAAGCACTTCACAGGATTTACTGTACAATGTAGTGACTGTGTATTTATTAGGCGAATGCAGCCAATCAGATACAGCTGTGAGTTCAGATGGAACTTTTTCACACAGAGGCGAGTGAGAGTGTCTTACATGATACACTTAAATACAGTATATTGATGTATTTTGCTTCAACTCACTGTCGGCTGATAAGGTTAAAGCAAAACCATCAATGTATTTAAGGGAAAACTTGAAGCATACATTAGGGAAAAAGCAATTAAGGGAGAGAGGTATAGGCAAGATGGAGGCTCATGTGCAGTATAGAGATTCCCAGTGGCCTTTTTCCACAAGCAGTAATGAGAACGACTAATTTTATCTAAAGTATTCTTGGTCTTATAAATAGGGGTTTTGGAGTATAGAAACCAAAGTGGCAATGCTAAACATATATACAGGGTAACCGAAAATTCATGATATGTACCCTGTTGTCTAAAAAAAATTATAATTTCTTTATGACATTATAATGGTATCACAACGTTTTGGTCACCCTGTACATTGTTAGTTAGACCACAGCTAGAACATTATGTCCAGTATTGGTCACCTCACTTTAGGAAAGACGTCAAGCTGATAAAGGGGGTGCAGAGGAGATTTACTCTGATGATACCAGGAATGAGTGGTTTGTCCTATGAGCGGAGACGGGAGGAACTGGGACTTTTTCTGAGGCAACAATTTAAGACACTGTAGTTAGTTACTAATGAGCAATTGAGCAGGAGAAATGTTTTCACGTACAGAGTAGTCAGGATAAGGAATCAAAAGTGAACTAGATAAATATAGATAAATGGGACTGAAAGGATTGCAGCACAGATACAATGGGCCGAATGGACTACACCTGTAAACGTCTATGGTTCTACGGATTGTTGGCCAGGACCAATAGGAACTCCCTTTCCAAGCAATGCCACAGGATATTTAACGTCCGCCATGCAGGCGGTCGGAACCTCGGTTTCATCTGAAGGACAGAATCTCTGACCATTCAGCACTTCATTCTCTCCTGTGCTGTACTGCAGTGTCAGCCTGGACTATCAGCTCAAAGCCCCTTGTGAGCCTTGAAGCCACAACCTTGTGACTCAGAAACATTGTACCATGTGATTCGCAATGTGTGATACTGGACTATACCATAAACTAATAATTCTTATATATGGTACTGTGCCTTTCTTGTCAGGAGGACATCCCAAAGCATTTCATTGGATATACTTAAATTGTGATGTCTGTGTTTGGGGTGAACTTGGTAACCAATTTGTCTGCAGCAATGTCCTGCAAACAGCTATGGAGTGAGTGACCAATTTTATCTGGGGAATTGTTGGCCAGAATATCAGGAGAGAGAAACTCCCTTGTCTTTTTGAATAGTAAACAGACAGAGGAACCTCAGTTTAATGTCTCCTCCGAAGGATGGCACTGGAGTGTTATCTTAGACTATATGATTCCAAGTCCTGGCATGGAGACAAGAGCTATCAATTGTGCCCAGGCTGACACCACATGCATAGGTGACAAATAATCTGGCTCAATGACACAGGAGCTACATTTTGACATGGACTTTGGAGATTCATTCTAGGAGAAAGCTGCAAGTCGTGACTATGTCCCGAACTACCTATGCACTGTATCTCATAATAACATAATGGGTTAAAGTACATAGGGAGTTCAGGACATATGTGCATGCGACCACCAGGAAGGTGGAAGGCGAACTAGATGGACCTTGGTCTTTTGTTTTTGTCCAGTATTTCTTATGTTCTTATGTGACGGACCCAACAGCTGTGTGACTGGGTGCAGCTGTGGCAGATGTGCAGGCTGTGCCCTTGAGACAGCCAGCTGTGAGGTGGGAAGCCTCTCCTGCTCACCGCGTTGCTCTGCTTGATTTCAGACCCGATGGAGTGGGGAGTGGGCAATGTTCAGAAATGGATCCTATGGACTGAACACCAATACCGGCTCCCGCAGATCGGCAAGTCCTTCCAGGAGCTGAGTGGCAAGGACCTGTGCTCCATGTCCGAGGAGGAGTTTCGGCAGCGTTCCCCAGTGTGTGGGGACATTCTCTATGCACACCTGGACATCTGGAAGTCTGGTATGTTCATGACTGGACCTCAGTCTGCTCCCTCCCCAGGCTTCCTCTAACAATGCTGTTACACACAGAATCATAGAATCTTACAGCACAGAAGGAGGCCATTCAACCCATCATGCCTGTGCCGGCACTTTGGAAGAGCCACCCAATCAGTCCCACTCCCCCACTCTTTTCCCATATCCTTGCAAACTTTTCCTCTTCAAGTACCTATCCAATTCCCTTTTGAAAATTGTCGTTGAATCTGTGTCCACTGCCTCCTTCAGGCAGTGCGTTCCAGACCGTAACAAAAAATGTAAAAAATATATCACATGCCGTATTTTAGAGCCCAAATCAGCAGATTGAAGACGGGCAGTTTGAACTTGGTTTGAGAGGGAAGGGGAGTGGGAGGCAGGGTTGGGGGGAGAGGGATGTTGTTTGTGAGATTTAGGAAAAGTGACAAGCAGAGCGGTGACCACTAACCCCTCCGCCCTCCTCTCCTCTTACAGCCGCTTGGATGAAGGAAAAGACGTGTCCTGGAGACAGCAGATATAATGGTAACACGCTCCTCTCCACCGCTGCACCGGCCGGCTGTATGTAAACCTCTCTTTATACAGTATTGCTGCATGTTTCTGAAATGAGTTTAATCCGCGCACACTCACACTCACACGCTTGTAACTCACCCACACACATACACGCACTCACACTGTTGGTGAGGCTGGGACAGACAGACAGACAGACGTACTCACTCACAGACAGATGGATATTGTCCTGACACTCTGAGAGTTCCCCGTGCCTCAGACACTCGGTTTGATTGATGTCTGGTTTCCTCTCTGTCTGCCCATCGGTCTATCCGTCTGGCTGCCCATCTGGCTTCCTGTATCATTCACACCTGAGTGATTTACACTTGCCCTGGTTTCTGAGCATCTCAGAACGTGTGCGTGAGCCATGGTCACTGCTGAGACACCAGTCTGCCCCAGGCCAATGCTCGGCTACAGTTGGTCACTGGGAGGTGCCCAGAGTAACTGAGTTACTCAATGCGAGATCCCACACACTGAGCCTATGCTGCAGACCCCTGAGTGGCCTGGATCATGGTTAATGCCATTTCACTGCCCTCCTCGCCTACAACAACACACAGTTACTACTCTTTACAATAAATCCCATGAAGGGCTTTGAGACGTTTGATGGATGTGATAAAGCGTGGGATCAAATAAGAATAATTATTATTATTGTCATTATATTTGTATAAGTGTATGTTTGCTGACGGAGAGTTGAGGAGGGTGAGTGAGGCCAGCGCTGACGGGGTTTGTGTGTCTCAGGCGCTGACGAGGGCTGGATGGACACAGAGGCTGACTCCTCCTGCTCCGGGCAGCCCATCCACCTCTGGCAATTCCTGAAGGAGCTTTTACTGAAGCCACACAGCTATGGACGCTTTATCCGCTGGCTAAACAAAGAAAAAGGTCAGTGCTCTGGGTGTCAAGGGGCTGAGCCAGGGTTAGGGTTGAGAGGAGGTGGGGGGGGGGTTGAATACGATTTGTGTTCCCAGGGCCTTCGGTAGCTGGAGATTTTTCAATTGATTTTGGGCTCCTTGGCCTTAATCAACATATTGGGAAAAAAATTTTGGAACAAAAATATGGAGGCCTGTAGCTTGGTGGTTAGGACACTCACTCCGCAAGTGAGAGGACCTGGGTTCGATTCCTAGGCAGGGTGAAACGCTGGGCAAGTTTCCTTACTCCGCACACCTGCCTCTGTTTACCTAGCAGCAAGTAAGAATTATTTTTTGAAGATATTATTACCTCCGGAAAAGCAATCTGCCTCAGTGTAACAGCCACGTGGGCCTCAGTGTAACAGTTCCTCTCTGAGTCGGCCTGTTTGCTCCTCTCTCCCGACAGGAATATTTAAGATTGAGGACTCGGCGCAGGTTGCCCGGTTGTGGGGGATCCGGAAAAACCGTCCGGCCATGAACTATGATAAGCTGAGCCGCTCGATCAGGCAATACTACAAGAAGGGAATCATCCGCAAGCCCGACGTCTCACAGCGCCTGGTTTACCAGTTTGTGCACCCGGTGTGAGAGAGAGGAGAGCGGCAACGAGCAGAGACTCACACGCACTGTGGCCTTCACATCACATCCTCGGCCCTCGGTCAGGCCCTCCACCTCCCTGCCCCTGGCCTCCCCTCTCTCCCCACGCGCCCCAGCCCACCCAACCCCGCCCCTGGTTTGCCCCCTCCCCCAGCTCTGCCCTCTCCCCAGGCCCCATGGTCTGTCCTCCCCCATCCCCTCCCTCAGGCTTGCCCTCCCCCCCAGACCCTCCCAAGGTCCATCCCCCCCAGCCCTGCCATTCCTCCCCCTAGGCCTTTCCAGGAGAATTGTTTCTGGTAGCCATCTGGGGGGACTAACCAGTCATGAAGCTTGGCTGCCCACAAAAATCCCTTACTGATCGGAGCTCTGTGATCCCACGGACACTTCACGCCTTTATTTGTTTTAGCTCATTTGATAGTTAGTTGCCCCTGAGGGATAATTCAGTAGCCGAGGGCCACATAATGGCGGTGAATTCTGGCCCTGGTCTTTTCTCTGCCTTTCATGGCATCAAAATGTGAAGATAGAATGTCCATCATCCATCTTGGCCACCCTGGACATGGGGGGGAGGAGAGGGGGGTGCAACAGGGGGACAGGGGGCTTTTATACCGCATTTTATACAGCAACACAGGGGATAGGGGAGAAAGTGGGCGTTTTTCTACTCTCACAAAACCTCACCATTCTTTGCCAACATGGGACAGTGATGGGCCTTTCTCCCCATCCCCCACCCCACTGCCAGGCCTCACATTGCCACCCCACACACTGCCAGCCCTCACACTGCCAGCCCACACACTGCCAGCCCTCACACTGCCAGCCCTACCTGCCCCCCCACAATACCAGCCCTGACACTGCCCGCCACCTCCACACACACACTACCCCCACCCCCACATACACTGGTCCCCCCCACACACTGTTGTCCCCACACACACACTGCCCCCCCACACACACTGCCCCCCCACTCCCTCCTCCCATACACACACTGCCCCCCCCCCACACACACTGTCCACCCCCACACAGTTCCACCCCCACAGTCCCCCACACACACACCTACTGCTCCCCATCCCACTTCCTTCTCTCCCACTGCCCCCCCACACTGCCAGCGCTCCCCCCTACCGCGGTGGATGGATGCTGAGATGATCTGGACAATAGTTGTTTGTGGGGTTTCTTTCCTCTTGTGACCCGGGTGAGGAGCCGGGGACATTGTGGTGGGGTCAGGGCGGCTCTGGGGGTGGGGCGGGTGGGTGCGGGTATATGGTTTGCAGAGCAGCTTGAGACAAACTATTTGGGAGCAGAGAGACCTAGGGAGGAGAAGGGGGATTGAATTGAACTATTTGTCGGGTGAAGTTGTGTGATTCCACTGCCACTACCAACTGTGCCTCTTGTGGTTAGTCTGAGAGGTCTATTCACATCTCTCACCCCCACCCCTGGCACCAGTTCTTCGGGTCTCCAGCTGGGCATATGAGCCATGATTGTCTGCAGTTCACATTCATGACACAGCCCGAGACAGAGATGCCCCGGAGACCATAAGGTCTTGAAACGTGGGAGGGGGTTGTGGAGGTGGAGGTTCATGTGGATATAGACACCGGCACGGACTGACAGGGCTTCCATGCTGCACAGCCTGTGTGTAATTCTGTATGAATGTTTTTAGATGACACAGAATTGTGAACAATTCTTCTCTTTGGCCTTAATAACCTGGACGAATCTTAAGGAAAACCCGCCTTCCAAATTAAGGCTGATTTTAAGGGATTTTTCACAATCCAAATGGATTTTCAGGTTCTTTGACCAGGAATGGCTGGTGCTCACACTGGTGGGCTCGGGGGGGTAGGGGTGGTGGGGTGGTGGGTGGGGGTGTCTCAGTGTGCCCGAGCAGTAACATTCCCCCTCCCCTCGTTTGTTTAATTCCCAAAAATGAACAACTGAATGTGTAACACTGTGAAATGTGATAATTAAACTGTCTGATGACACGAGTTGGTTCATTTATATATGATAATAATCATTGCATTTAATGCAGTGCCTTATCACGTTGTTGAAACATCTGAAAGGGCTTCACGGGCTGTACTGGAAAGTGGATAGACTGTATTTTGTAAGAAAAATGCGGCAGCCAGTTGCGCACAGCAATGTCCTACAAACAGCCATGGAGTGAGTGACCACTTTTATTTGGGGGATTGTTGGCCAGGACACCAGGAGAAACTCCCCGCTCTTTTCAAATATTGCTATGGGATCTTAAACTTCCGCCTGAACAGGCAGACAGGACCTTGGTTTGACATCTCATCCGAAGGACGGCAGCTCCGACGATGCAGTGATTCCCGCAGCACTGGAGTGGAGCGGCAGCTTGGACCATGTGATTCGAACTCCCGACGTGGGGCTTGAACTCACAACCTTCTGACTCAGAGGCGAGACTGCGCCAGACTGACACGTATAAAGTGTTTAGGGGAGGGCAAAACAAGGGGGAAGGGGACAGGAATATATGTAAATAAATGGCTGGAGGTAAGTAAGCCCGGAGCTGAGAGTCAGCGGGGAATTAAGAAACCCACAGGCATCAGTAAAATACTCTCTTTATTGACTTTTATACCGAATAAATGACAGGAATCCTCGGGTGAGCTTAAGGTAAACAACGACTTTCTCTGCCAACAAATGACCAAACGCCACACACATACGATCAGTGACAGACACACACACACTCACACAGTCAGTGACAGTCACACACACACACACGCAGTCAATGACAGTCACACACACACACACACAGACATACACACACAGACACACAGTCAGTGACAGTCACACACAAGGAGTCAGTCAGTCAGTCAGGCAGTCGGATGGTCAGTGTCTCAAATGTTAACACTGCTATGAGCTGCTCAAACACTCTGGAATCAGCTGCAATATGAATTCAGTGATTTTTACCAAGTGAAGCCAACCCTGAGGGGCCGCCTGGGCAAAGGCAGGGGAAGCGGAGCAGGGAAGACCCAAAGTGCAATCATTCAGGATTTAAAAGGGGCAAAAATTAAACGTCAGCTTGTGTTTATAAAATGAAAGTCTAGAATCTCAGGAGAACCAAGAGGTCACGATCGTTGTTGGAAGATTACAAAACAAGTGTAATTGGGGGTGGGTTACACAGGGCACCTCACTGTTGGGATTGCAGAGACAGACACACGTGAGTCTCGGAACGGCATCAAACATCCGCAGCAGCGGCTCGTGTGCAGGAGGCAGTGACCCAGAGAGCGGCCACAGGCTTCCGAGAGTGAGCGAGACTGCACTGTCTGGAGGGTAAAATAACAAGCCTTAAGCTCGCCTCCATTGGGTAAACTACACCATCATCTGCACCGGCCGCCCTCCCCAGCCAGGGCCTGAATAGCTTCACAATTCACGTGCACCTTGATTTTGTTTTTCATTGGCTCTGTATAGCAGCACTGACATACAATCACACACGCACACGCACACACACGCACCTACATACCCCCACGGTAGGCATCACACTATGCGCACACTACCACACGTGACATTGCTCACACATCCGCCACATGCGTGACACTCCACACGCCCATGCCACACACTGTGGCACTAAACACGGCCATACACACCAGACTACAGTACACATGCAGGACACACACATGCCACACACAAACGCTACCTGCGTACGTACGTGCCACAGACAAATTACACATACAAGCAACACTACACACACATGCAATACTATGTGTCAGCACCACACACACACACACACACACACGCACACACACATACACACCGGAGCCTGTACGCAGTTAACATAGCCTGCATTCCCCAGACAGGGTAATCTACAGTTCACATTAACAGGTCCCACATCAGGCAGCCTGACGTGGAGTGAACTCAACACGTCGACAGAGGTTCGGTCACAGAGGAAAGTCAGCTCACACTCACCCACATCACACGACCACAACATGATCGGTCATATTACATCATCATATATATATATATAAGGTTCCAGCACTGATGATACAACAGCAACGGGTTTTGCGCCTGACACGTTTGGGGTGGAAGTGAATGCGAGGAATGCACATCAACATCTAAAGCACGGCACGGCTCACGGCACAGTCACGGCACGCTCACGGCTGCACAACGATGGCCGTCGGTCGGTCGGTCGGTCGGTCGTTTGGCCTGGCGTCATGGATGCCGGCTGGCCGGCTCGCTCCTCTCCGGCTCGGCCACACGTGGCGACGCTGAAGCCTGTGGGACGGTGCGGAGAGGCCGAGGGAGGTCGCAGTTCCACGCTGACGGTAACACAAGCGCGGAGCCTCCCAGGCGCATGGCCAGCCCCCTCGCGCCCCCCCCCACCCCCCGCCCCACACACCCCACCTCCCGTTACAGCACAGCCACACCCCACAGGGCGTGCAGCAACATCCATCAGCCTGAAACCTGCTCACGGTTCAGTCTTTTTGACCAATTACTTGAATTGTTTGGCCTTCTGTCTTTATTTTAATTATATAATTATATATTCTTTACATGATTGGGGGTATAAAATACTCTTGCGGTACATTTGTCAGCTGCGGGTCTTTTTGCACACAGACTACAGCCGAGGCGAGAGCTAAGGGCCCGGGGTTGCTCCCCCCCCCCCAGCAACGCTCGAGGCCAGGGTTTAACGGTTAAAAGGAAAACTACAGAACCTCGGCTTACCTACGTCAGACCGACCTGAAAGACTGGTCCACGGAAGGACGGTTAGCGGCATACACACACACACACACACACACACACACACACACGCGTGTGCCCATAGCAACCCCTCTCCCTCTCCCCCACTGCAGGTCCCCACACCCCTCACCGCACCAGAGCATGGCTGCGGATTTAAGCGAGTGACGGGCACTACAGCAATGCAAGTTGTTGTTGTTGTTGTTTTTGTTGATGGCGATGTTGTTGTGGGATCGGGCCCTGGATAAGCACAGGCGTGACCCGTGTGCAAACACACATGTGCAGCATCTTAGCTCAGATGTTTTGTAAAATGACTGTTGGGTCTAAATTACGGAATGTGTGTGTTGGGGTCGGGGAGGCGGGGGATTGTTTCTGGGAGTTGGAAATCTATCACCAGAGAGTGAGAGGAGGGGGAGAGTGAGTGAGAGGAGGGGGAGAGTGAGTGAGGGGAGGGGGAGAGTGAGTGAGAGGAGGGGGAGAGTGAGTGAGAGAAGGGGGAGAGTGAGTGAGAGGAGGGAGAGAGTGAGTGAGAGAAGGGGGAGAGTGAGTGAGAGAAGGGGGAGAGTGAGTGAGAGGAGGGGGAGAGTGAGTGAGAGGAGGGGGAGAGTGAGTGAGAGGAGGGAGAGAGTGAGTGAGAGAAGGGAGAGAGTGAGTGAGAGAAGGGGGAGAGTGAGTGAGAGGAGGGAGAGAGTGAGTGAGAGAAGGGGGAGAGTGAGTGAGAGAAGGGGGAGAGTGAGTGAGAGGAGGGGGAGAGTGAGTGAGAGGAGGGGGAGAGTGAGTGAGAGGAGCGGGAGAGTGAGTGAGAGGAGGGGGAGCAAGCTTAGTCCATGTTCTCTAGTTGGGCTCTGATCTACACGACTCTCTGGCTGGTTTGAGTCGCTGGGAGACCAGCCAGTGCCAGTCGTGGTGCTCTGGCCTCTGAGGGTGCGGAGGAAACGGGGGGAAATTCTAAATACTGGTGAGATGGGGTTGTGCGCTAACACTGAGCCCCGCGGGGGGATTGGGTTGTGGGGGCGGGGGATGGGGGGGTGGGGGGTAGGTTCTGTCTAGCTCAGGGTGAGCCACGAGCTGTACAAATGACAAAGCACACCAGGCGAGCAACAGAAAATACTAAATGAAAGTGAATTTTGTTGAGTTACTTTACGAACGGAAAACACAAGATCTAGAACATGTCTATATGTACACAGCTGCAGGGACGGCTCGGGAGGGGCAGTGTCTACACACTCTCCACATAGTTGGCGGGATACAGGCCCAGCTGCCCACTCTCCAACTGCCCCTTGCACCAGCCCTGCTCATCCTCGTCCTCCATCTTGATCAGGAAGTCACCTGTAGGAGCCGTCAGAGCACAGTGGTCAAACTTGTGCTCCAGTCACTGCCCATCACACCAGCTCATTCCCGGTCACTCGCCCTCACACCAGCTCATTCCCGGTCACTCGCCCTCACACCAGCTCATTCCCAGTCACTCGCCCTCACACCAGCTCATTCCCAGTCACTCGCCCTCACACCAGCTCATTCCCGGTCACTCGCCCTCACACCAGCTCATTCCAGTCACTCGCCCTCACACCAGCTCATTCCCGGTCACTCGCCCATCACACCAGCTCATTCCCAGTCACTGCCCTCACACCAGCTCATTCCCAGTCACTGCCCTCACACCAGCTCATTCCCAGTCACTGCCCATCACACCAGCTCATTCCCGGTCACTCGCCCTCACACCAGCTCATTCCCGGTCACTCGCCCTCACACCAGCTCATTCCCAGTCACTCGCCCTCACACCAGCTCATTCCCAGTCACTCGCCCTCACACCAGCTCATTCCCGGTCACTCGCCCTCACACCAGCTCATTCCAGTCACTCGCCCTCACACCAGCTCATTCCCGGTCACTCGCCCATCACACCAGCTCATTCCCAGTCACTGCCCTCACACCAGCTCATTCCCAGTCACTGCCCTCACACCAGCTCATTCCCAGTCACTGCCCATCACACCAGCTCATTTCCAGTCACTCGCCCTCACACCAGCTCATTCCCAGTCACTCGCCCTCACACCAGCTCATTCCCAAGTCACTCGCCCTCACACAGCCCCATTTCCAGTCACTCCCCGACTCACACAGGCCCATTCCCAGTCACTGCCCAGTACACCACCTCATTCCCAGTTATTGCCCATCACACCAGCCCATTCCCAGTCACTCTCAGTTGTTACTGAGTGACAACACTGAGGAAGTGACAAGGGCAGGTAAACAGGATTGTAGTCACCAGATCAGATCAGAGCAGGTGTCTGGTGGTTACTGTGCCAATGTGACAGCAGCAGGAGCTGAACAATTCACTGGTGAATCTTAGAGACGAGTTCAGCAAAGACCCCAAACAAGCGGGGATTTGCTGACGATTCTGTAAGGCTGAAAGTGAGCTCTGCTCTCTGCCCTTTATGGCTTCCTCTGGAACTTCCCACCCACCCACCCACCTTCAAATTCTGCCTCAAGACCTTCCTTTTTGATGGTGCTTAGGGCCACCTTCCCCCCCCCTCCCTCTCCTCGTGGCTCAGGGTCAGACTCCGTCAGTGTCAAGTGCTCTGGGATGCCACCCCAGGTGAAGGGAGTGATGTAAGTGCAAGTTGTTGTTGTCGTCGCCTTCTCACCTGCTCGGAAGCTCAGCTCGTCCTGCTCCTGGCCTTCGTAATCGTACAGCGCGCGGACCCGGACCCCCGGCCCGTGGGCGGGCGACGCTTCCTCGTCAAATGGGTTGTTGCCCCCGTTGGCGTTCGTGGCCGGGTTATTGGTTTCGTCATCGGACCATTCGGCGGAGTAAGCCTGGTTCTTGTCATAGCTGCTCACACTGCGGCGCAGAGAGGCAACACAGGCTGGTCAGTGAGGGGCTGGGAACCTGCACAGCAACGCTACTCAGTTTCACTCTCTACTCCGCTGAGCCGTCAGTCAATCAGTCAGTCTCACTTTCTCCTCCGCTGAGCCGTCAGTCAGTCTCACTCTCTCCTCCGCTGAGCCATCTGTCAGTCAGTCAGTCCAATAGTATCCGAGAGAGAGCAGCGTACAGTACAGGCAGAGAGGGGCACAGCTACCGTGTTAGTGTAAGCCAGCAAACAGCACGACTGCACTTCCCAGAGAACAGTTTCCCTTTCACAGCGGATTCACACATCTGAGTCAATCGGCCAGTGACCTCACTCACATCACTCACGGCTGCAGTGGATGCTGCTGTCACAGGGGCCTAATTTGCGAGCTTTGCAATAGAACAGCACGTGTTGCTGGCGCCTCAGTGACAGAGAGAGCTCCAGAGGCGTGAGATGTCAGTGTGGCAGAGCTCCGAATCCCAGCACACTGGCAGCCCCCCGGCCCCAAGCAGACGGTTAGTGGCTCGCGGTGAGACGCATTGAGACACAGTGAATGTTAGCGAAAAACCCAGAGAGTAAAGGATTCTTTCACCAACGTTTTGGGTTCTTCTCTCTGCACCTCCTTCATATCCTCGGTCATTTCGTCCGCAAAAGGGTTAGATCTGGAACCTTTCCCATTAGGAGCGGAACTTTTCCCAATAGGAGCGGTCCTTTTTCCATTATTCTGGCTGACATTACGGCTGTTCGGGAAACGGGGGGGGGGGAAAAAGGACAGCTGGGTTTTTAAAGGCAGCCCTAGCAAACGGTGGGCTGAGAATCGTCAAACCTCATGCCATCCATCACATGGGACACACGTAACTCAAGACTGAGCCTGAAGGAACTTTATGAGGACAAACAAGAATAACCATTCTATGTGTGTTGGCATCTCCGATGTAGCTGCTCGTTCCTCACTCCCTCTGCCCCATCATCAATAGCTGAGCTTTCAGCCTCTCCCAAAGTCCCTTCCCTTTCAAAACCAGACTTCTATTGGAGCTTCCCTGAGGCTGTGTCTGTCAACATCCCCTATGTTAGCCTGGCGCTCTTGCCTCTTAAGCCAGAAGGATATGAGTTCAAGGCCCATGTCAGAACTTTGAGCTCATACAGTCTAGGCTGACAATCCAGTGCAGTGGTGGGGGAGCGCTGCAGTGTTGGAGGTTCCGTCCTTCAGATGAGACGTTTAATCGAGATCCCGTCTGACTGGTCAAGCGGACATTCAAGATTCCACGGCACTATTAGAAAAGAGAAGGGATTTTCTCCCGCTGTCCTGGTCTCACCCCCTCTTTAAACGTCTTTAAGTCCAGGCTTAAAACCCACCTCTACAATCGCGCCTACGAAAGGGTGACCGTACATCCCCGATTCCCGGGGACAGTCCCGATATTGTGTCCCTTAAGCTAAATTTGCCCCGTCTTGAGTTCACCAACAAACTGAACAAGAACAATAACATTGTAAAGCAAGTACACTCATCAGAGAATTACAGCCATTAATCCCACACGCTTCTCCAGTAACTGCCAGCATCAGGGATTGTGGTGACTTCATTTTTTTTTGCGCGTGTCCCCGGGTTTGGTTTACAAAATACAGTCTCCCTCCTGCTTGACCACCTTCCCCTCGCCTGTTTGATGTCCACCCCTGACCCTGTGCAGCTCTCAGACGTCACACCATGTGACAGCGCTGTGTAAATGCAAACTGGTGTTGGCCATTAATGGTCAATTTTCTTGAGCTCCTTTTGCAGATGTCCCTACAAAATATTAACCCCTTCTTGCCAAGTATATTTACCTGCCCCGGTCTGCAGTTGGTGTCATGTGCTCTCCTCCCGGCGAGATGTTCGTCAGAGTCACTCCTTCATTCGGTTTTTTTACTTTCTCCCTTTTAGTGATGGTGTGAGTCATGTCTGGAGAATATTCCTGTTCCCGAAACAGGGACAATTTAGGTAAATCACCAGCAGAACCACTCAAGGCAGCCCGAATCAACGACTAACAGTTTGTCAGCCTGGCTCAGTCACTTGCACTCTCATCTTTGGGTCAGAAGGTTCTGGGTCAAGTCCTTGAGCGCATACAGTCCAGGCTGGCACTCCACCGCAGTGCTGGCGGGGGACGCTGCATTGTCAGAGGTGCTGTCCGTCAGATGAGACGTTAAACTGAGGTCCTGTCTATGCCTGATCAGGTGGCCATTCAAGATCCCACGGCGCACTAGTCAAAAAGAGACGGGAGTTTCCCTCTCCCAGAGACCAAGGCCAACGCAATCACCCAGATAAAACTGATCATTCACTTCACGGCTGTTTGAGGGATGTTGTTGTGTGCAAATCAGCCGTCGCATATGGGTATAAAATACACAATCACTGCGCAAACGGAAAGCTTTATGAAGGGTTGAAAACAATGAAGTTATGTCAAACACCACAACCAAGGCCTCTGGTGTACGAGAGCGGATTGTGTAACGCTTACCGGGATCCCGGCACACACTCTGGACACCATACACGACGAGGAAATGTTACCTCAAACTGGGGCCAGTTCATGGGCATCCCTGGCCCCTGGGTGTTGCTGAACCACTTCAGATCTTCCTGTGCATCCGCCATACGGATCGCCTGCTCCAGGTCCTGGTAAATGATGGCGTAACTACAAAAGGAAACATCCCAACCACAATGTTTTACCGCTCGCTCCAATATTCTCCAACTCTGTCAATTACTTTGCATGTGGCACCATCACAAGAGGGCTTCAGAAGGCCCTTTGGTCAGTGAAGGGTTGCATCTGAGCTGGGGATTGGAATCAAGAGGCCACCCTTCCACCCATCCCTACCCTCCACCCATCTTGACTCCAGCCCCCAGCTTGGAGGCAAGCCCTTAGCTGTCTCAAGACCCTTCTCTTCGATCACTCCTTCAGTCACCATCCTACCCCCATCCTCCCTGCCTTCCACCCTTCATGATCCCAACCCCCAGCTTGGGTCCAAATCTCTGACTGTTCAGTGCCTTCCAACGTGAAAGGCGCTGTATAAATGTCATTTGTTGTTTGGCCCATTTGATATCATCCTTCAGGGCGTCAGCCTGGCTCAGTCACTCACCCTCTTGCCTCTGAAACAATGGCTTGTATGCTCAAACCCCACCTTTGGGGCTTTGAGCTCAGTCTAGGCTGACACTGGAGTGCAGTGCTGGATGGAGCACTGCATTGTCAGAGGTGCCGTCCTTCAGATGAAATTAAAAACGAGTTTCTGTCTTCAGGTGGACATTAACGATCCACGGCACTACACTTAAAGAGAAGGGAGTATCTCTCTCTCCCATGGCTACACATGTGTATAAACAGGTCAGCGTTGGGTAACGGGCGGCCAGTATATTCTGATAGCAGAGCATCAGCATCTAAACAACAAAATCCAGTGTCGGCAAATTGGGACAAGGAGCTGGAGAGCAAGTACAACTCTCTGAGCTCCGTCTGGACTTTTGTCAGGTTCAGTTTGCAATTCCCAAATGAATTCTGAGTCGGGAAGCAGATTTGACTGACCTGTTGTTTTCGGTGAGGTTCAGGTGCCGTTTGATGTCCTGCAGCACCTCCCGGAAGAAGATCAGCCGCTTCTCCTCGAACTGCTGGCACTGCTCAAACACCTGCTCCATGTTCTCCATGTACTGTGGCGTGCATTTGCCCAGCTCGTCCAAACCCTTCTCGTACTTCTCTTTCGCCTGCACAGGCACGGAGTGAAATTAGTGCCTGGAGCTCAGCAACACCCTGGCAGGACCAACACCCACACAATTCACAAGCAACTTCATTCAATAAACAGCACATTCCTCAAATCCTCTCCCCGTGATGTGTTTCTCCTGTGCAACAACAACAACTTGCATTTATATGGCGTCCTTCACTTCCCGCGGGGCAGTGTCTCAGAGTGCTAAGTGCAGTGCTGAGGGAGAGCTGTGCTGTTGGACGGTGCCGTCTTTTGGGTTTGACACGATTGGGCCAAATGGCCCATCTTCTACAGATGAGACACTAAACTGAGGTCTCGTCTGTACCTGGCCAGGTTAAAGCCCCATGGCACAAATCAACAACAACAAGATTTTTTTGTATAGCGCCTTTCTCGTTGGGAGGACCTCCCAAGTCACTGGAACCAGTGTACAACATTTCAGACCCGAGCTGGGATCAGTGGGGGAGAAGGGAGGGGAGAGGAAGGGGGTTAACTGATGGCATGGTCGAAGAGGAGGATTTTGAGGTGGGACTTGAAGGAGGCTTAGGAGGGGCGAGGCAGAGTGATTGGGGGATGGAATTCCAGAAGTTGGGGGCAGAGTGGCTGAAGGCTCTCCCGCTAATGGTGGGGCGGGTGGGTCGGGGGTGGTGGAGCAGGCCGGAGCCGGCAGAGCGGAAGGAGCGGGCGGGTTGGTAGGGGTTTAGGAGGTCACAGAGGTAGGGTGGGGCGAGGCCATGGAGGGCTTTGTGGTGAGGACCAGGATCTTGAACTGGATCATCTGAAGGATAGGGAGCCAATGGAGTCGGGCGAGAATGGGGAGATGAGGGTCACGAAGTTTGGTGCAGGAGAGGACACCGGCTGCAGAGTTCTGGATTATCTGCAGCCTGTGGAGAAAATTCAAAAAGAGAAGGGAATTTCTCCTGGTGTCCAGGCCAACAATGCCTCAGGTAAAATTACAAATTTATTTCATGGCTGTTTGTGTGACACTGCTGTGTGCAAATTGACTGAATAATTACATCTTATCCTCCAGGGTGGAGGTGGAGGGGAGGGTGGTGGAAGTAAGCGGGGTCTCCTTGGGGCTGAACTGGCTCCAAGGTGACATGTTTGGCAATGTAATGTCGGAATCAAGTAAGCCCTCTATGATGGTCTCTAATCCGAATCCTGAGCCAAGCTCGTCTGCCGTACAGGGCGCTGCTGATGACAGCACAGCCCAGCCTGCCTCATTGGCAGGACTTGGATGGACAGACTAGTCACTGGGGGCAGGGAATCCTGTTAATCCTGCAAGTGCTCTGAGATGTGTGAAGAGCGCTATATAAATGCAAATTGATGTTGTTGTTGCAAGCCAAAGCCATATCGTAGGGTGGTCCTACTTGGAAAAGTAGCGGGAAAGCTTGCCAGACAGTGATCCCAACGGCAAGCGATGCAGATTTAGTTGGTTAAACTCTAGCAGTTACCCCAACGCCCACTCTGGGATTCCCAAGGCTTGGCTCTTGCCAACCTACGCCTGATACTTTCCAAAATTAAGTAAGCAGGATGCGTCTCCCTGGGGAGAGTGTGAGCATTCCGCTCCGATAAATACCTCTGGAATTTCTACGTCTAAGTTTCCATTTATATCAAATTCAAGGATTAATGAATTGATTTACTCTCAGTGCCAGATCCAGGAAGACTCGTCTGTTTTGAGTTTTCACTTATTTGCAGTAAGTGCGTGGAATTCTCAGCTTGGTTTGGATACTCTTAAGCATGGTGATGGGTTTCCGTATGTGTCAAGACAACAGCAACAACAACAACAAGATTCCATTTATAGAGCGCCTTTCACGTCGGGAGGACATCCCAAGGCGCTGGACAGTTGGGTCAGGACCCGAGCAGGGGGGAAATGGTCAGGGTGAGGGGAGGGAAGAGAGGGAGCGAGCGAGGAGGGGGTAGAGAGTCGAGAGGGGAGCTGAAGGCACAGTAAAAGAGAAAGGTCTTGAGACTGGCCTTGAAGGAGGAAAGGGAGGAGGCGGCGAAGGCACTGGGGGATGGAGTTCCAGAGCCTGGGGGCTGAGAGGCTGAAGGCCCGGCCACCGATGGTAGGGCGGTTGGGGCGGGGGATGTGGAGCAGACCGGAGCCAGAGGAACGGAGGGTACGGGCAGGTAGGTAGGGGGATAGTAGGTTGGAGAGGTAGGAGGGAGCGAGGCCGTGAATGGCCTTGTAGGTGAGGATCTTGAATTCGACACCCGGCTGACCACAAAAATGCAGTTAATGATTTTACCAGTAGAGGGCAATAATTGGGCAAAAGAGAAATATCAAAAGGCAACACGCAGCTGTGCAGGTGCCAATTCTAATCTGAACCACAAAGGCAGTGATTCCTCTTGACTTCTTTGTGATACACTGACAGAAGACGCTAAGAAAAGGCAAGTCCTTTCTCTCAGAACAAGAACAAGGGATTTAAAAGTCAACCAAAGCCATAAACCCCTGTCAGTGGCTGTGATCGTCCCACCTCAGTCCCTGGTGCTACTCTCCGCTGCTCGATACATCTGATCTCAGTTATTGGCAATGTCAGCCCATTAACAGAGGGTAACTCGCACTGCATTGCACTCACTGAGAAAGACCCAGTGAGCCCCAGGCAAGGTGACTGATGTGGACGTGCTATTGTTCTGGAGCAGCTGATGGGAACGCTGCCGTGGTTGAATGTTTAAATCGAGCAGGAGGTGGTTACGTGGATAGGCACAGAGTGTACAACATTTGACACAGGATTGAGAAAGTAAACCCAGATCAATCCTTTCGGATGCAAAAAGACAGCAGAACAAGAGGATCATTAACACCTCTTTAACCCATCATCTCCTTTGTCTTCCTTGCCCTGCATCCCCCCTCTCTGTTAGCCCTTAAAAGCCTCTCCCTCCCAACATAATAATAATCACGTCGGGAGGACGTCCCAAAGTGCTTTACAGAATACACTGTAAAGTGAAGTGACTGTATATTTGTGGGCTAACGCGGCAGCCAATTGGGCACAGCAATGTCCCACAAACAGTCGTAGATTGAAAATGACCAATTTATTATTGTTTTTGGTTTTGGAGGGATTATTATTAGGCTCTGTGTGGAGTAAGGAAACTTGCCCAAGGTTTCGCCCTCTGCCTGGAATTGAACTCAGGTCTCTCACTTGCAAAGCGAGTGCTCTAACCACTGAGCTACAGGACTCCACAACATGACCCAGTTCTGACGAAGGGTCATGGACCAAAACGTTGACTCCCTTTCCTTTCTCCATAGATGCTGCCTGACCTGCTGAGTGTTCCCAGCGACTTCTGTTTTTGTTTCAGAACAAGAGGATACAGGTTTAGAGGTGCAAAGGGAATTTGTGGACAGACACCAGGAAGTTTAAGAAACGGTAGGGGTGGGACTTCTTGAGGGTTGAGATTAGATTTGCTGAATTTTTTTTTACAAATCTGATCCAATCTTGTAATGAGGAGTGTCTTCTCCCTCACAGACCTGGGCCGAGCAGAAGATGTGGGAGAGTTTTGCTCCTCGCAATAAGAAACGTCACATCCATGCTTTGTGCTGAGTTAATGGGCCAATTGTTTTTGCTTCTTTGGTAGTTTTTTTACGCTGACGCCTGACAATTGTCTCAGACACAAACCAAAACCACACAGAACACGGTCAACCGAGGGAAAGGAATTTCCTGCATCTGTAAAGGTAAATCTGTAAATATACAGAAACACGAGATAAACATAAGAACTTGCTCGGCAAAAGAAGGCCAGTTTGACTTCCATCATCCTGTCAGTCGCATGACGTGTCATGTCCCAAACTATACACTGTATCCCAAAATATTGTTTCCCAACAGGAATCTATCTATTTTGTTCTTGAAAGAATTGACACTTTCTGCTTCCTCCGTCTCCCGAGGGAGCCTGTTCCATAGGTTTACTGCTCGCTCACTGAAGTAGTATTTCCGCAGATTTTGTTCTGAATTTATCCCCACTTCAATCACAGGCCGTGTCCTCTGATTCTACTGTTCTGGACAGGATAAAACAGCTTATCATGGTCTACATTATCTGGTCCCTTTAGAATCTTAAAGACGGTAGTCATATCACCTAGAATCATAGAATTATACAGCACAGAAGGAGGCAATTTGGAAAAAGAGCTATCCAAATCAATCCCATTTCCCCGCTCTCAACCCCTTTAAGATTGTACCATCTAGTTGACATTGCCTCTCCTCATTCTTCCTCCTAAAATGCATCACTTCGCATTTCTCTACATTAAACTTCATCTGCCACATGTCTGCCCATTTTACCATTCTGTCTATATCAACCTCTCATCCTTCTCTTCTCCAGTATGAACATGCCGAGTTTATCTAATCGCTCCTCGTAGTCCAATCACTCTATCCCCTCAATCATTTGGGTTGCTCGCCTCTGTATCCTCTCAATCGCTGTAATATCCTTTTTGTACTGCGGTGGGTGCCCGGAACGGCACACAGTATTCCAAGAGCAGTCTCACCAGTGATTTAGGAAGTGGCAGGATTACCCCACTATTTTGGCTCAATGTTGCACTTTTAATACAACCCAGCATCCGGTTGTGATAACTTCAATTTATTGTCAATCAGGACCCCCAGGTCCTTTTCGTTTTCCGTACAGATTACTTTCTTACCATTTAAATAACAGTCCCTGCTGGATTTTTTGTCCCCATGTGAAGCACTTTGCATTCCTCTACATTGAATTTCATCTGCCATCAATCTGCCCAATTCCCAAGTATGTTCAATTCATCCTGTAACCCATCCTGTTCACCTTTGCAGTCATCTGCATTAATTTTGTGCCATTTGCAAATTTGACTGTGCTTGTGACTCCCAGGTTCATCATTTATGAAGATATTAAATAAAAGAAGTCCCCCAACAGACCCAGCAGAGGTTAGCGGTGTGAGCTCTGAACCTGATGTGATTGATGTAGAATGACACCCCGTTTGTCAAACGGACAGAGGCTTCTTCTGATGAATTACAGTTACAGCAGCTTTGCTAGAGATTCACAGTGTGATCAGTATTCCCAAAGACTACTGCTTCCTGTTGTGCCAGTACCACACACTGAATTCGCATCATTCTTCACACAACCAATGGATACAGCCTGGACCCGGGTTCCTTCATTTCCATATAAAATGAATACAAATGACAACAGTCACACGCTCCCCGTGCTTGAAATAAGGAGGCAGGCTCTGCTTTCATCCCAAAATACCGCTCCTTATAATTTCCTTCTGCTTTGTTTCCCGAGTGAAAGGTAGTCGGTACAGAGAGCAGACATTCCCCCAGTGAGTTTCGCTGCAGGCTGCTTCAGTTATTTGTATTGGTTTCTCGGGATCTGAAGGTTGTGGGCTCGACTACACGTCGGGGACTTTGAGCTCATAGTCCAGGCTGATGCTCCATTGTAGTGCTGGGGGAGCACTGTATTGTCAGAGGTGCCGTCCTTCAGATAAGATGGTAAACCGAGGTCCCGTCTGTCTGTTCAGGTGGACGTTAAAGATCTGATGGCGCTATTTGAAAAGAGAGGGAGTTTCTCTCTCCTGGTGTCCTGGGCTGTGAGTGGGACATTGCTGCATGCAAATTGGCTTTTGCTTTTGCCTACAAACCACACAGCCACTACACTGACAATAATTCCCTGTGCTGCCCTGTGACACAGAGACGTGCTAAGACGATGCATCAAATGCAGATTATTATTATATTTCTTTCTAAATGGGTCGAGGTGTGGCTTCACTTAAACGGAGCCTCCTTCACCAGCTTGGCAGCCTGTCCATCACTCTGCCGTCCTCTGTCTGTCACAACACCACATAGAGAGCGACTGGGTTAGCACTAAAATAACCCCCATCCTCTCACACACGCACAATACACACGTATAAAACAGAGATAGAGAGAGAGAGAGAGAGAGAGAGAGGGGAGGGGTGTTGGCAGAGGACCTTCAGGCCTCAGTACCGTGGGCTGCAGTGAGTGGGATCTTTCTCACCTTCTGCACTTCCTGTTTGCACTTATCCACCTTGTCCTGCAGTTTCTTCTGTTGGTCTGCAGTGACAGACTGGTCGGCCTTGCTGTTCGTCTCTCGTGTGATTGCCATTTTTTCCTCTTTACAGGCCAGGTGATAAGCCTTCTTCGCCACCTCCATCTACATGAAGCAGGAGTTACCTTAGACGTTAGTGATTCAGGAAATCAGCATCAACAACAATAACAACAAATTACATTTGTACAGCACCTTTCACGTCGAGAGGATGTCCCAAGGCCTTGGACAGTCAGGGATTTGGACCAAGCAAAGGGAGGGGGTTGAGGTAAGGGAGGGTAGGAGGGTGCCAAATGCACGGTCCAAGAGGAGGATCTAGAGACGTGCCTTGAAGGAAGCAAGGGAGAGAGCAAGGTGAAGGGAATGTGAGATTTTGGGACAGAATGGGACGGGATGGGCAGGGGACATGGAGCAGGCCGGAGCCTGCTGAATGGAGGCAGCAGACAGGTTGATATGGGGTCAGCAGGTCACAGAGGTAGGGAGGAGCAAGGCCGCAGAGAGTTTTGAAGGCAAGGACAAGGATTTTGAACTCTATCTTCTGGAGGATGGGGAGCCAGTGGAGCCGGGAGAGGGTGGGAGTGATAGGGTCACGGAACCTGGTGCGGGAGAAGGCACGAGATTCAGAGTTCTGAATGATCTGCAGCTTGTGGAAGGAAGGGTTGGGAAGGCCAACAAGCAAGGAGTTGGAGTAGTCCAGCCCAGATGTAATAACTGCGTGAATGAGGGTTTTGGCGAGCTGAGGGAAGAGGCAATGACGGAGCCGGGCGATGTTGCGGAGATGAGGGAAGGCAGAGCGGGACATGGCACGGATATGGGGTAGAAAGTATACTTGAGGGTGAAACAACATGCCAAGGTTCCGGACTGGCTCAGTGAGGTGGAGTGTGCATCCATGGATGGTGATGCTACCACTTCCTGAGGTATGGAGGTGCTGATGGGAGCCAATCAAGAGAGCCTCGTTCTTGCTGACGTTCAACTGTAGAATGTTAGCTCTCATCTGTCAGGACAGCAGTGGTCCTGGAGTCGAGAGTGGAAGCAGAGAGGTAGAGTTGGGTGTCATCCTCATACATGTGGAAGTTGACCCCATGTCTGCAGATGATGTCACCAAGGAGGAACATGTAGATATTGAAGAGGAGGGGAACAAGGTCAGAGCCCTGAGGAACACCGCACAAAATGGCGTGGGGGCCGGAGGAAAAGCCATATATAATGATCAATATTATGATCAACCACCTGCCCTAGACCCATTCCCCTACAATCCTCTGAGCTTCAGAGGCTCCCGAAGGGAAAACATTTCTCCTAAATTCTTGTGCCTCTCTTATCTCTGTGTCCTCTTGTCACTGGCTGCCCGGCCAGTGGAGATAGCTTCTCCCTGTCAAACCCTCATCACCGTATCCACTTCTATTAGGTCCCCTTTCATCATCTTAGCTCTAACCTCTCCTCATAACTAATCCTGTAATGATGGAGTTCGGTAAGGTATTGGTTAGAGCGCTCGCCTCACAAACGAGAAGACCTGGGTTTGATTCTCTGTCGGAGTGAAACCTTAGGTAAGTTTCCTCACTCTACCCTCCTCTGTTTACTTAGCACGATGTAGGAACCCGAGATATCAAATGCAAAGATTATTATTATCCCTGCGATTACTTTGACAAACCTCCTCTGCCTCCGTCCAAGGCCTTAACATCCTTCCTGAAGTGAGGCTCAGAACTGAACCCAGTCTCCAGCAGCAGCCTCATCAATGATTGTACAAAATTATTATTGCTTTGCTTTTGTACTCTGTTCCTCTATGTATGAACGCCACAATAACATAAGCTTTTTCACAGCACTTTCCACATCCACGTCGACCCCTACCACTCTAAATCCCCTCTCTCTCTCCCCTCCCCCTCACCACTCCGGCCACCACTCTTATAGACCAGCTCTTTACCTCCTTCAGTTTTTTCGCCCAGGGTTTCTGTGCCTTGCGAAATCCGTCCTCGGCCTCCTTGGTCTCTTTGAAGCCTCCTATCATCTGCTTGTGATACATGTCTTTTTGCCAGTTCTTCACTTTCTCAAAGTCGTCAGTGACCAGCCCATTCCTCACGTCCTGGTGCAGCTCACTGACTCTGTCCGCTTCGGTCATCATGGTCATCCAGGCTCTCTGTAACGTGCCGTACTGGGGCCCTGGCAACAACAGTGACACACACTCTACAGCATGCAAATAGGCCATTCGGGCCAACTGGTTTGTGCTGGTGTTTATACCCACCCACTCCTGGGTGTCTTTAAGACTCCAGTTAAGAAGAACAATGTTACAGAAAAACATAGGAAGATGTTTTGCATTTTTATAGCACTTTATCACACAAGATCATTTCACGCAGTACCTCATGGAGAATCACAGTCAAGTGTGGTGACTGTATTTGTACGCAAACATAAAGCTAATCTACCTCGACAAGATCGCACAAACAACCAAGACATAAATGATCTCATTTTAATGGGGGGAAGAAGGGTCTCCTTGGAGCTGAGCTGAGTTCCAAGATGACTCACTAGACTAAGGTATATTGGAATCGAGCCAGTCCTCTGTGACGGTCTCTAGTCCGGTTAGTGAGCTAGGTGGGTCAACAGTACTCCAGGGCACTGCTGATGACAGCACAACCCAGCCCGGCTCATCGGCAGGACTTAAAGCAGTTTGCCTACAAAACACAGTCACAACACTTTACAGTGAATCCTATGAAGAGTTTGGAGACGTCCTCCTGATGTGAAAGGCAATAAAGGAAATGTTTGACATAATGAACAAGTCCAAACAATGAACAATGAAAAGCTGGAAGATTGGCATAGATTCACATCAACCATACCCACAGGACAATTTCTGGTGGGTTTATTTGTGTATGAAGCAGGTTCACTTCATGGTTTATTGATTTGAGAAATGCTCAGGGTTTTGATAGGGTTGCTTTTGGGGAAGGGTTGACAAAAAGTGGGGAAGAAGGGAGCGGGGGAAAGAGGAGAGAAGAGTAAAAGACTCTTCTTTGCCGTGTGTTGCCCAGGCTCGCTCTGTATTGACAGCCTTGATGTGAAATCCCCATTGGTTGACAATTAAAATATAATTAACACACAAGAAGCAAGTTAAGTCAACAAATGCAGAGAATTGTTATCTCAGGCTCCTGTCCCTCCCCCGGTGTGCAGCGAGGAGATTCTGGTTTGACAAATTGGACAGGACTGGTTTACCCTGCACACTGGCCTTGCGAAGTGACCTACCTTTCTCAATGAGCTGTTTCCACCTCTTCGACCAGTCAGTCAGCTGCTGGGAGTAAGCCTTCTCAATCTTGGCTCGCTCGTTGATGCAGCTCATTAGATCATTACACAACCTGTGCCCATCATCAATCCGCTTGACTGAACGCTTGTAGTTCCCCACCTGCAGCAGAGAGACAGACAGAGCAAATCTTCAGCAATGCCCAGCACACTGCAAATCCTCTCCTTGAGGCTTAGACCCTCGGCGGCCGAGCTTTCCGTCACTTTGCCCTCCCCCACTTTGGAACTCTCTCCCAAATCTTCCATCTCGCACCCTCGACTCCGCTTTCAAAAGCCATCTTTGACTGGACCTTTTGCCACCTTGCTCCTCCCCACCCCCATACTCCCCCCGGCACAGGCTCCCACTCCACCTCTATTATGAGCTACGAGGAGATGGTTTGCCACGTGCAGGTGTGTATAAGAACAAGTTGTCGTCACACTCAGCTCTGTTTAAAGCAGCATTCACTGGAAACACCACACAACAACAACAACAAGAAGATTGCATTTATAGAGCGCCTTTCACGTCGGGAGGACGTCCTAAGGCGCTGGACAGTTGGGTCGGGACCCGAGCAGAGGGGATATGGTCAGGGTGAGGGGAGGAAAGGGAGGGAGCGAGGAGAGGGTAGAGAGTCGAGAGGGGAGCTTCACGGTTGAAGAGAAACAGACGGTTGTTATCTACACATGAGCAGGGTGTTCGGTGGAGCACTCATCTGCCCACACCAGGAGAACCCTGACTCCAACTAGCCATTACTCTAATGCAAAAAAATACTTCCTCGTTTTTGTCCTAAATCCACCATCTATCCCTCACCCCGCATTGTGCAGTCCTGGCAAATCTGAAAGCAATGCTCTGAGAATATATTCTGTGGCCTATTTAGCAATGTGTATTCATTCCTGTTCCAAGACGTCTCTTTTCAGAGCAAAGAGCCCTAATTTATCTCCTTTCCCGTAGTTCGAGCTCGAACACGGGATCACCCCTGTCACTCTGGTGTGTGTGTTGCCTCTCGGTCTGGGAAAATCAATGCTGAGTCAAGACCGGGGAACAATTTATGCAAACATGTCCTGTGTGGGTGTGACTGTGTGCCGTGGCCATTTGCGGCCAGCGTGATGAGGGACGAGTGACAGCAACAGGAAATCGGCCATAGCTGACCTGGCAGCAGAACACAGGCTGGGCATTTGGGGTTCAATCTGATTCATGGTTTGAATTTGCACTAAAGTCCTCAAAAGATTACAAGTAACATGAGATAGTGATGGAGATAAACTCACACCATCTGCCCAGCTTCCGGCTAAACACACACTTGGGTTTGTTCACTTTTATTTAAATAAAAGTGAACACAAGACCCTCATTCATGCATTCATCATATCCAGGCTCGATTACGCAACTCTCTGCTTGTTGGCCTTCCCAACTCGTCCCTCCAAAAGCTCGATGACTCTATCACCCCCATCCTCGCTCGACTCCACTAGCTCTCCAGGCGGGAGTTGACATGCACGAGGGTTTCGGCTGCATTTGGGGTAAGGTACGGTCGGAGGCAGGTAATGTGGCAGAGGTGGAAGAAGGCGGTCCTGGTCAGGACTGCCTTCTGTAAACACACATACACACACAAAGATACACAAGTATACACACATATCCACATAGATACAAACACACACACAGACACACGTAGACACACACAGATATACACCCACACAGACACATGCACGCACACACAGATATACACAGGGCACAGCGCAGAGCGTGTGAGAGGCAGGTCTGAAGACAGTCAAAACCTCACAAGATAACTTTTAACCAGTTGAAATAAGAGATGAAAGTCTTTATCTTTAATTCATTGCTAATGTTGGTTTCCTTCCTCTAGAGACAGTGTCAAATACCCGATCGCGTGGATTCTCTTTTTAAACCCACAGTGAGGTACTAGCGAGAGGTGTGAGGCACAGTGAGGAGCATCAGCTGCTGTCTCACTCACTGCATTCAAACTGTGCAGACAATCCACCCGCAGTCACCTTCAGCCAGAACTCTCGAGGGCGATCGATAGTGTAATAGGAAACCCTTTGAAGTTCATCAAACAATATCCGAGGCTTAATACTGACACTAATTGATCACAAGATGGTCTGGATGAAGAAGGCCCTTCAACCCATCTGATTTCCTCCCTCCAGAACACTTCAAACTCCCCCCCACCCCATCACAGCATCAAGCTGCTCTTTAAATGAGTTCCAGTGTCCTGGCCTCAACCACGCTTTCTGGTAACCTGAGCCTGCCATTGATTACCCTCAGGGTAAAGCAAAACTTCCTGGTGTCTGTCCTGAAATTGTCCTTTACACCTCTAAACCTGTGTCCTGTTGTTCTACTGTCTTACTGTATCCTGGGCAGCCCCTTATGTCACAGTGACCAGAGCCGTGTGCAGTGTTCAAGGTGTGGCCTGACCAGAGCAACGTACAGCCTGACAATGACGTCTGGGGATCTGAACTCCACTGATTTAGCTCCGAGCCCAGCATCCTGTTTGCCTTGTTTATTGCTGCCTCACACTGTTTTGACACAGTGAGCGACAGGTCAACTAACACCACGAGATCTCTTTCTGCTTCCCCCTTGGCAAGCGCTATCCCAATGGAGGATTGTGATTCCTATTCCTGGATCCTATATGTAGTACCTTGTGTTGATCAGTATTAAACTTCATTTGCCAGTTATCAGCCCATGTGCACACCCAATGGATACACAAGAAAACATGGCCTCCAGCCCTGCTCCTGTGTCATCAGGTGACCGCTGATATTACTTCCGGCACGACCTGGCTGACGTCCGGTGACAAACCTGTGCGAACAGGCCACTGACAGACATTATCCACAGCAACGTGGTCAGTGGGAGGGTCCTGCCTTGGCACAACTCCAGCGAATCTATTCCTGCATCTCATCTGTTCCTAACCTTGGTAGAAAGTAACTGCAAAATGGCACAACATTCTCCCTGTAAGCATATCAGCCACCTCCACACACGAGCACAGCACTGATCTGTCTTGAAACTGTCCTTTAAAACTCTGAACCCATGTCCCTCCCATGTCCATATGCTCAGACCTCCGTATCAGATGAAAAACCTGGGATTATAAATCTATAAAAAAAACACCCAGATTCAAATTCCTAAACTATAGCTCACTGCCAATCCAGATTTCCAAAGACATCATGAATCATAAAAGGACGGAGCTTCATTTGATATTATTAGCCCCACGAGATTTCATTTCTGTCTTCTCATCTCTTCAATTACATTTACAATTATCAGTTAGACTACCTCAAAGTGTCTACTGTTGCTCGCTGCCCTGGTAGGCAAACTTGAGGAAGATACAAGTGAAAGGGAATAGAGACAAGCAACAGCCATGAAGGTATTTCTATGTCAACTAAACATTGCCGATGAGAAAAGTGCAGTCCATATAGTCAACTGTACAAAGTTACAATTCGTTGCCACATAACCCACAAACTCAAATCTTAACAAAAGGTACAAATGGGTCTTTTCAGCTACAGCGAAACAACTGAGGTCAGTTTAGAAGTCAGTGGCCAAGTGCACTATTGTAATTATAATAATAATTCCGGCCTTTGATACAAACCCTTTTACTCTGTTAAAACACCTCAAAGTTTTCACAGGATTTACTGTAAAGAAGTGGTAGCCAACTTGTGGCCCACAGGTAGTCAAGAAGCCCAACCCCATACCCCCCACTCCTCACCTCCCCACAAAGAACATTTGCACCAGTCTGTTCCATCTGTACTCTGTTTTCAGTTTTCTCTTAATTGAATATTTCTTAATTTCTATCATAAATCAAGAAATATTCAATCTTGAACATTTATTTTGTTGGCCGATCAACAAGGTTGGCCACCACTGGGTCAAAGTGTGTGTTTTGTATTCAAAATTGAACCTAATTCTCCAACGGAGCTCTCACTTTGTGGAAATGTGGACAGTGTAGCTACACGCACTTGCTTTTTGGGGGGGGAAGTGAGTGAATGGAATGGATGTATTTAAACAGGGCTGGAGAGTGTTCCTCGTGGCAGAGAAGACACCTCTCCCCGCACTGAGGTCAGTCAGTCAGACTCCTGGCCATCACGGAGCAGCATTCACCAGTTCCAGGGCAACCTGGCCATGAGGCCTGAGGCCAAAGGTCATACACTCCATTACAAACAGGGATGCTAAAAAAAAAGGCCTCCAGCCCTGCTCCTGGGTCATCAGGTCACTGCCGACATAACTTCCAGGGTGGCCTGAGGGCTAAGAGCAGATCACTTCTGCCTGAGGACGTCCTCTTGATGTGAAAGGTGCTATATATATGTAACTTGTCGTTGTTGAGAGAAACAAACTCATCTGAAGCAAAGCTTTGGCACCCAATTACTCCATCGTTTGTTATGCAGTGAGCGCGACACAAGACCTTTCCGAATGCTGCAGGTTCCATTAATCCACGTCTTACTGCTTAAATGGGAAAAATCTACACAGGCGTCAGTTGCCTGGCAACGCGGGACAGGCCCAAGTATTCTTTTTACAGGAGCTCCGATTTCCCTCCTGCTTCACACACTGATCAAGCGCTGTATTCAGGTGGAGCCAAGGGCACGGAGCCCAGACTGGCGATGAAGAATGTGTTCTCTTGCCTTCCTGCCCTCATAACATCCAAGTCAAGGACATGTATATACAGGAACTCAGTCAGACAGATGCAAACATCCTCTGACTGAGCAGCCCAATAGGATACAGGGCATGTCTCTGCTCAGTGAGTATCTCTCCTGAGTGAGTGTCTCTGCTCAGTGCTGGGCAATGAGCATTGGCAGCACGTGGCCAGGCTAGGGGCACAGACACTGCGGAAGGACCCTCAGGCCCAGCCTCTCCTGCTGGCCTCGTGTGACTTTAACCTTACCCAACGGAGCCTTCTACTCAACGAGACCGGCCAGCAACGTGGCCACAGACTGACACTTATTGCAGTCGCTAGAAATCCCCTGAGATGCTCCAAACCTATTTCACGAGGGATTCCCAGTCCACGAGGAACCTGGATTTCTTCACTCTTATCCCAGATCCTCAGCGTTCAAACCGCCCTGAATCCATTGAATGTTCAAACCACCCTGAATCCAGCTGGTCCACTGTCCTGCACCTTACAGACCAATCCATAACTGTTTGTGGGA